CCAGTCTGAAATTCTTTTAGCTAGAAGCATCTGCCGGAAAAAACAGTGCCGTTAGCGACAAAAATCTGCAGGGAACTATGCAAAAAACGCATCTTCGCATGGGCAGCCCGTGCGCTGGCCAATTATTTCTTTTAAGTTATGCCGGTGTCGTGCACTTGTTGCTTTCCAGCTTGCTTCCCAATGTCTGTTGCTAGGCGTTTTTTGATATTCCGGTATCGTCTGATGATAAGTTAATAAGCACTAAAGGCTAATTGTTTGTTCCACTTTTTTATCGCATTATGTTCAAACGCCAACTGAAAATTTGTTATGCAAAATTAATAATTAAGTCTGGTCCAGTTTCTTGTAACAGAGTTGAATTTTGTAACAGAGTTCGGATGTATTAATTCAGAAAGTCGGATTTCCCATTAATCATGAAAAACGAGGAGGGCCGGAAGTGGTCCGAGTGACACCGCATGGCTAATTGTTTCCTCTTCCCTGGTCTCTTTCCCCCATCTCCCTTTTCTCCCTTCCTCTTCTCTCCCTTCCCTTCCGCCTGTCTTCTGGCTGGACCAGCAAGACTCTCAGCAGCTTCTTCTGACAGTTGCTTAACAAAAAAGACTGCTATTCTAATTTCTCAGCATACATCGAAACATCAAGGCAAGTCGTAGAGGGATAAAATCTCCCAGTGACGGATTTGTACCGTCAGCTGGCACCGTTAATGAGTATCTGTTACAGGCAAGTACACTGGATAGCGGCAAGTTATTCCAGTTAGCATGTGCAGTTGCGGAGCACGATCGGTATTCGCCAACGATGACTTTACTTATAGATCAATTGTCGACTATGAAACAGGAGGAGCTGTCGACGTTTCGCCTCTCACAGGCAACTTGCATGCTTTTCCGTGACCGAGACCTCCTAAGAATCGTCAAATTTTAGTCATTTCTTTCAAGCAGTGCTGGAAAAGAAGAATTGTCGGGATTTGCGGTTTACAATTCCCAAAAGTTCCTACTTCGCTTGGAACTGCGCAGAATTCGTTAGACAATGGCGGAGGTTGTTTGAAAAAGTACTGGTACATGTTACGTACCAGTAATTGGTATTTGCAAGCGAGAAAACGCTACAGGTGGATAATTTAAAGCGGGAGGCTTGACATTTATTTATGCTTCGGTAATAGCAAAGGCTGATAACTGGACAGTCCTGGTGATAAAATACCCACATTGCATTTTATGCATATTTCCATCAAATGCTTTTATTGCATGTAGTAGCGGTACTTGAAAGATGCGCCAAACAAGTCCGGAGATAAGACAGGGATGGTAAGACTACTTCCGAACAAGCCATATCATAGTACACTTGCAGGTGCCCGGTGACGTTGTGGCCGATATTTTTACAACAAGAAAGAAGCGGCGTGAAATGGAAAGGAAAAAATGGTGTTGCATTATGTAGCTGTTCGCATTGGTGCCATTAACAGCTGCTGTAGATCTTGCCTGCGAAATTACGGCGTGGATTTCACCGTATTCTGGTGTTCTTGAACTTCTTGTATATTTCTCCCATACTCGTCAGCTTGTTTGTTTTAATGTACTTACTGCTCATCGGAAGTTCAGACGGCAATATCATGCCCTTAAAGGGCAATATCGTGGTAATATTCATTTTCATTGTATCATCCTAAAGTAATATCGTGCCAGCCAAGACGGGTAACTGTGCTAAGTGAAAGGGTGGGAGGACGCACAGATAGAAAAAAGGGATAAAAGAGAGCACGCATTTTGATCTGATCACAGAGTTTGCTCCGTAAGTATTTATCGGCAGTAGCTCGGAGGAAAGGGAGCAGTTTCGTTTTGCCTTGATATGGGGACGCTAAAATCAATTTTTTGGGAAATTGCACAAAACTGCATCGAAGCAAAAGTTAATGATGAGGTGGGATGACGATGGAGATGGATCTAGTTGAAGACGTGTGAATTTGTGACATTTGGATGGAGCCGTGTAGAACGAGGCCGAAAAAAAATAATTCAAAAAAGGTTCAAAAGTAAAAAGTGAAAAAAACAAGGAGGAGAAGCGTTTTAGAATACCGATGATCAGTGGGAAATGAGTTTCGTCTCTCATCCGAAGGGATTCAGTGATGACAAAAAGCAGGTGCTTAATGATTTTAAGGGGTCAATACCCCTAAGGTGTAAAAAGCTTGGACTGCTAATAAAAACTGTTGTACTGTACGGAGCGAACCGGCAGTTTGTTATTGCTTGTTTCAAAAAATTTATGATGCTCCGGTGATCTGTACCTCATCCCTTGCACAGTAAATTTTAAGACAGCAGGACCGATGCACAAGCGCAAATCTACACCTGCCGCACTACACACACGCATGCATCTGTACACCCACACATGCATATACAACACACATACCACACAAACGCACGCAAACACCGGAAATGTTCACTGCTGAGCAGGAAAAACACCAAAACATAAGAAATGAAAAAACCAGAACCAAAAAAATACATAATAAAAAAAGAAAGAAAACCCAATACCTAACGAACTATAAATTAATCGCTGTAGTCAAGCGCACTATTGTAAAATATGCTGTTCTTGTTATAAAATTATATAATGTTTTTTTTTTTTTTTCTTTCTTTACCCCTTTTTACCCTACGAGTCAGAATGCCATTTGCATTCCTGCGTGTTTACAGTTTTTTTGCGTTTTCTTCCATTTTTTACACCAGTAAAGACCTAATTACATATTCTTTTTCCTTATCCCGTTTAGTCGTATTTTGGAATGCGCTGGCATTCCCAGCCGTTTTACTTTTGTTATTTTTCCTTTCATTCCCTTTTCTTAACCCCCTTAAAAACCCTTATTTCCATTTTCCCTTTTCACATTCCCTTTACCCTAATTACCACTTTCACATTTTCAACCCCTCCAGAAAACTATCACATCCTCTTGGGGGGG